GGGTCTCAAACCCACGGGCTCAGGCAATCCGCTCACCTCAGCCTCCCAAAGGCGTGGGATTACAGGCTGAGCCACCGAGCCCGGCTTCATGTAGTATTATGATGAATGTTCAGGGTCCACTTATGAGTAAGAACATGGGGTATTCAGTTCTTTGTTTCTGTGACAGATCACTGAGTATGATAGACTCTAAGTCCATCCAAGTTGCTGCAAAGTCCATAATTGTGTCTTTCCATAAAGGCATGATTTTTTTTCTAAATCATTCTGTCACTACACACCAGCCAAAGACTTCCAGGAACACATCTAGTTGAACAAATTGGGTTTATTACTCTTGCACAACGGGGCATCACAGGAAGGTGTCAAAGGACTTATAGGAGTATTTATGCCTGGGTTCAGTGATTTGGGAAAGGGCTTAACGAAGCCAGGCTTCTCTGTCAGAAGTGAATGGACTATCTTAACAAATCTTGCCTAGAAGGAGAAAAGGCTAGATGGAGACTAAGTCTGTAATCGGTAATGAAACAACTGTCACTATATTATCCAAGAAAAAGGGATGTTTTGTCATTTTTGTGGTTTGGACAAGGCTTATGCTGGGGGTTCAGACTTGACTATGGAGTGGTTTCATTTTTGTCTTGCTTCCTCACGGTCCCAGAATGACCTTGTCCAATGATGACATTCTGCAAATTTTCTTATGTGAAAAACACCAAGGTCAGCTCCTGGATGTCCAGGGATGCTTTTTTTCTTTCTCAAATGTATACATTAAATGCGATTTTAATCCAAATTTCCAGTTTCATATGCGTTTGCTTTATGGGAGAATGTGACAAAACATATCTAAGTTGAGTATCAGAACAAATAGAGAAGAGAGTCAAGAAACCAAAAACAGAGTTTCCAAATCTACAACACATAAGATGAAAATGTTAATAAATTGGACTATAAAAAAGAAGTCTTTGTACAGCAAAAATCACTGGTAAGACAGGTTTGCAAGACAAACCACAAACGGATAAAATATTTTCAATGCACTGAGAAAAAGGTTGAAGTCCCTAATAAACTAAAACTGTATAATGTGGCTGGGCTCGCTGGCTCAGCCTGTAATCCTGCGCTTCGGGAGGCCAAGGTGAGTCAATTGCCTGAGCCCGCGGGTTCGAGACCCACCTGGGCAACTTGGCGAGATCTCATCTCTACAATAAATAAAAAATTAGCCGGGCATGGTGGCACACGCCTGTAGTTCCAGCTACTTGGAAGGCTGAGGCAGAAGGATTGCTGGAGCCCAGCAGGTCGAGGCTACGGCCACTGCACTCCAGCCTGGGCGACAGAGTGAGACTCCAATTCAAAAAAAAAAAAAATGTATAACCTACCTACCAATCAACGTAAAAAGTGCACTTTTTGGAAGGGCCATGTACCAAAAAAAAAATACCGGCCAGGCATGGTGGCCACGCCTGTAATCTCAGCACTTTGGAAGACCGAGGCTTGAGGATCGCTTGAGCCCCAAAGTTCGAGACCATCCTGGGCAACATAGCGAGACCTCCTCTCTACAAAAAATAAAAAAAATTAGCTGGGCCGTGGTGGCACGGTGGTGGCCTGTAGTCCCAGCTACTCAAGAGGATAAGGTGGAAGGGACTGCCTAAGGCCAGAAGGTCGAGATCGTGCCACTGCACTCCTGCTTGGACGACAGAGTGAGACCCCCGACTCAAAAAAAAAGAAAGCTAAAGCTACATTTGGACCCAGAGCCCAAGAGCCCATGTTTTAGTAAAAACCCGGGGACTTGCACACAGAGAGGCGGGGCTTGCAGAGGTGTGGGGGCGGGGCGCGGGAGGGGCG